TTTTTCCGGAGGATCGGGGCCAGTGTAGACGCTCTTTTCCGGCTTTTTTAAAAGCCGGAAAAAAGCGGCGGACATTTTTATTTAAATGCCGCGGGGGATATTTAAATCCCCCGCGGATTTCCCTACGACGACTGGTGAAATTTACATGCCCCTTCCGGAAAAGGGGCCAGTGTAGACGTAGCCAATAGGTCTAGGTTGGATATTAAGAAAAACTATTTCATTAGAAGAGTGGTGAAGCGCTGGAATGGGTTACCTAGGGAGGTTTTGGAATCTCCCTAGAGGTTTTTAAATCCCAGTTTGACAAAGCGCTGGCTGGGATGATTTAGTTGGGGTTGGTCCTACTTTGGGTAGGGGGCTGGTCTCAATAACCCACTGAGGTATTTTCCAGTTCTAAGATTCTAGAGGGTTGGACTACAGTTGCCATTGGGTAGATTTGAACCTGGGATCTCTGGAGCCCCTAGAAGTTGAGCTATAAAGCCAGCTGGCTCTCAGCTTAGGCTGCAGAGCTCTCTCACTTTAAATGGTCAAAGTGCCACTACTGGTTATGCAGGCTCTGAGGTGGGGCTAGCAATGATGTTCTTGGGGTGCAGGATGGTGCTCAGGGTGGGGGGATACTCAAAGTAGGATAGAAGGTTGGGGTTTGGGTTTACCTGGCCAGCTCCATGCAAAGGATGGCAAGTAAGTACCCCTTTCTTCTGTCCCCATCAGCTGCATGCTGGGGCTGCTTCTCTTCCCACTGCAGCTCATAGCCCCTGTGTGGAGTTTAATAGGAAGCTATGCAGCTTAGGGGAGCCATTGCCCCTTGGGGAGATGGATTAACTACATAGAGAGCATCCTTTTTCAATCATTTTTATTTTCCATTTGTTCTGATACTAATTGGGAGCTGCTAGGTTTTAGAGGAAATAAATGTAGTCATGATTGGCCAATGGATATTTTCCCGGCTGGATTGGGTTGCTGCAGTACAGTTGCACAGGAAGGCCCTAAGCGTGATTTAGTGACTGTAAAAAGTAACAGTAGTAGGCACTTAATTTTATAATATCCAGACAGCCTTCTTATGCTGTCATTATTCTCATTGCTAGAAGGTGGCATGTCACAAATGATCTTCAGAGAGGCAATGAGAACTGTGTGTTTGTCTCTTTGTTTAAGAACTCCTCTTAAAAGGTAAAAGCTACAACCACTAAATTTGGTATACAGCTTCCTCTTATCATAACTTAAAGCAAGGTCAGTGTTTGATGGTTCTGAGAAAATGGGATGTTCCAGGAATGTGATTGCTTCTCATAAAACCACACAGGTGCAGATGAACCTGGACCTGCTGCAGCTGGGAGACATACATCCCTTCCATGGCTGTGCCCACTGGAACTCCAGTGGTCAAGCTGCAACGAGAGAGGGATGAGGCTGTCCTCTATCCCTAGGGCAGCCTGTCTATTGAACCCCTCAATCCCATCACCACCCCAGAGCAATGATTTATATGAAGCATGCATATTTTAATTTTGTTTTCCAAAAAACAAAAATGGAGTTAAGGACCCATGAATGCTGGGTAAGTCTTCAACTACGTTATACAGGTATAAAGTACCTTTATAGTGGTATAATCACAGCCACACTTTAACTTTACCAGCATAGCTGTGTCACTAAAAAACTCACATCCCGAACCAATGGATCCATGCTGGAAAAACATTTAAAGGCCTTAATCACAATCTTAATTTTGCCTACAGCTGGAGCAAGTGAGATGTGTAGATAGTACTGAACTTTGCATTACACTGATTTAAACGTCCTGCCACCCCATTGATATTGTAGCACAATTGGGTTGAAGTTGGAGGGCCAGGTCCTCAACTGGGATGAGTCAATGCACTCCAATGAATTCAATACAGCAGCTGAGTGTAGATCTAGCCCTGAGATTTTAGACTGGCCAAGGCATTTCCAACTGTCGTGTCCACATGTGGTATGTCCCAGCCTGCTCTGATTTGCCAATGTGATTTTTGCATTCACTTCTCTATGAAGAGGACAGTTTTGTCTTTCTTTCACAAGCAACTGCAGATGCTGCTCTTAGTTCTAAGACACCCACATAATAAAACATACCTGTATAACTAGACCATCTGTAAGGGTCTGATTCCCCCAGTCCTCACATAAAGCTACAACTGACCAGTTCACTTGCTTAAGCTCAAGTGTAAATGCACCTACTTGCTGTCTAATGTTAAGGGCG